TATAACTCAATATCATTTTCATCTTCACTGAAGTTATCCTCAAAATGTGAACCTTGAGTGTCTTGATTATCAACATTTATAGTTGTTTGATCGTCGAAGTCATCATCATTATCTTCATCTTCGTCAATATCTACGTTGTTTTTCTCTAAATTAGTACTGAAAAAAGTTATGTTAGATTTTCTAAAAGACGTCTGATATAAATAATTGTCTATTATTTAAAAAATTTGTTATTTACAGAAAAACTGTATTAAGTTTTGAAAGTATATACTTCAAAGTATTTACAGATAAAGTTTCATTGAAATATATTAACTTTGTCAGTTTTTTCAGTGCATCGCTATTTTCAAATTATTAACTTTTAAATCAAGCCTTAATAAATTCGGCTCACGGGACGTTCGCGCGCACCCACAAATCAACTTCCGCTGAAATTAATTATATCTCGTACACTTATCAATTTACAGAAAAACTTTTCAGACAAATTTTGTCGATAAATGCATCAGCTACAAATTTTAATTAAACCTTTTTTCCGTATATTTAATATTTAAACAATTACAGTGAAAAAACGAAAACAAAATTTTTCACTCGACGATTATCGTAGGTAATTGCACAAGTGCATCAAAATTACCGATAATTTTTTTGAAAGCATGTTGTCTAAAAACTGCATGAGTTTATTTTCATATTTTGGCGAAAGAGCCCGACACCGAAGGTGGAGGGCTCTTTTAACAACATATGAAAATGACCGAATGCAGTTTTTTTACTGACAACATGCTTGAATAAAAAATTATCAGGTTTATTTTGATGCATGAGTGTAGTTTAGGGGAATATTTCCCGAAGAAGCATTACTTGTCAAACTGACGTTACCTACTTATAAATTGTCGGTGTATTGTGAAATTGTCCAAAGGAGTTGCCAGTTGCCATGGATATGGACAGTGCAATTATCGCATGGCTCTTTCGCTTTCTACAGTGCAATTATCGCTGTAATTGAGCGATAATTGCACACCTCATATGGCATTTATGACATATGAGGGAAATATTCCGGAAAATTGCATACCTATCTTCGTAAAGAATTTTTCATATTAAGCACGACCCTTTTGAATACTCAGATTTGAAATTTCAAGAGGTTTTTGATTTTTGTGAAGCTATATGTGTACTTTGACCACGCTAATAGTGTATTAAAGGAGTTTGATTGGTTAAATTGCAAAATGCACAAATCACATTTTATATTTCTTAGCCCCTGTTTTACTTAAGCCAGAACTGGAGCTGCAATGGCACAAGATGAAGAGTCGCGGTGCCAAAACACCAGGAAAACTTGCATGCCACATTTCTTCAGGATCCCATCGCACTGTTGTGATTGATTACTGTCATTTTATCAATACTGTGCGCCAGTTCTGAGCATAGCATCCTTTTTTTTTTCTTCAGAAAGTGCAGTAGCTACTACCAACATACATTCTTTCACTACCTATCTCAGAATCTGAAAATGGTTTCTGGTATTTGTTAACCGTCCAGCACACTCGCTTCTGCAGCGAACTAGTATTTTCGTGCTTTTTGTGTAAGAAGGAAAGATATGCCTGAAGTTTTTCTTTACTAGCCGCACTGCCGAGAAGGAAGCTTTTGCGGAATTGCTGATGAGTTGTTTCGTAGTGTCGCTTTAAATTGCCACTTTTAATAATAGCGATAGTTTTATTGCAAATTGGAACAGCCTGAGACCTATCAGGCAGCTTAAAACAAAATTATTCCGTCCATTCAGTGAGAAACTTCCTATTTTCACTCACTCTGTATACTCTGTAGTAATACCCAGAATTATTGAATATTTCCGCAAGTGTATGGTGTCCACGACAAATTTCTCGTAGGATTTTACTGCATTTTTAACATTTGTTTATGCTGCTCCTTGTCGATCTTCAAGTATGGCTTTATTGAATTGGCCTGAACTTGGATCTGTTTTAGAATCCTTTTTTTTTTGCGTGATTCTGTTTTTAACTTTGAATGTACGTTGTTTGTTACCAGCTTGCAACAAATAAAAGCATATTATTATTATTATTTGCCCATAACATTTTTTAATACAGGAACGTCTTTGAACCATCCAACACCTCGACAATCATTCCAGTTGGGCTTTACAGTTAGAAATAAATTATTTACATTTTTACTGTGAAAAGAATTTCTCCAACCACCTGAATAAGATGCTATTTTGTGACAGTGTTCGGTACGTAAAATTGACGTTTTGCGGATTAATCGCTTTCACCATGGCAACCGTACAAAAAGTGGATACTTTTGGTCCTAGTACCAAAAAGAAATTGACCTTGAAAGTTGGCCAATTAAAAAATTACAATCACGGAGATATGTCACATTGACATCGTTTTACATTGCAGGTTGTAAGATGTTTCTATACATACAAATCAAATATTTTTGCATATTCAATGCAAATAGTGATGTTACCTATACGTATGTACATGTATTGAAAATGATTTACGCTAGTTATTTTTATTTAAACCATGTGTACCTTAACTTACATATTATTTGGTGAACGTAATTTTAATACGTATACAACCCGCCGTCGCGCGTAACGCCATCTACTTCAGGCTCATTGCACTATTATCTGTCATTTTGAATTCAAAATTTGAAAAAGTTAATTGCAATTAATTTTAATTAAAAAACTGTATGGTAAGTTTTTTATTTCAATACAAAATATAACAATATTAATTGTGTATACAATAGAAATGACTGAAACTGATAGCGACATGGATTGCACTCCGCCAGAGATTATAGAAACGGCAGAACATGCTACCTCAAGATTTGCTCCCTACAAAGTCGCGAGAGGTGAGAAGTAAGAAGTAAGAACGAATAGGTTATAAGTTAACCTAAAAACTAGAGTGGCATGACACGTGAGGACAAGAAAGCAGAAGTTCTCATACTAGTAGTGAAACTGTGACTGAATCTAAATTCGAATATAATTTGAAGTAAAGGGGGTTGGAGAAAAAATTTTATGTTTTATTCGTACAAAAAAATGCGTTTTCGGGACTCGGAAGGTTGCTGGACTCCGCTAACGCGTCGTCCAGCAACTATCTTCCTCGTCCCGAAAACTGACATTTTTTGTACTAATGAAACAAATAACTATTTTAGCAATCGTACTGGACAGTAATCAAGAGCCTCTTCATTTGCAAACCATATTCTTATTTTTAAACGTGTTTAACGGCATGTATTCATGTATATGAACCTCACCAATAAAAAATTGGGAGGTTATTGAAATCACTCCAAATTTCAATTTTGAGATTTAACCGGATCTTTACGTTTCATGGTCCGAGGAGTCCAACAAAGTAGTATTTAAAAAATGTCTGTATGTGTCTATTTGCGTGCGGCGTGATTCTTGTAAACAAGATTCAGCTGAAACTACCTGTTCGATTTGATTGAAATTTGAAACAGATTAGAGAGCTGAAAAGCTTTTGGAAGTGATTCGAAAATGGCAAATGTCTTTTTGGCATCAAAATCAATATTTATTGAATTACGTATAACTTGAGAGGTGACCAATTTGACTGAAATTTTGTACCAATGTTCGCTCTAATTGTCCTAAAAGCTGAGGTTTTGGAAACGATTGGAAAATACAAAATGTCCTTTTGGCTATAAAAATTATATTTATTAAATAAGGTAGAAGCAACAATTTGATTCAGAGAATCCTTCTCTGTCACCCAATTGTTCGTAATCATTTTACATAGTTCTGTTCTTTTACACTTATAAAATTTCCTATACTTTCTGGTAAATTTGTAAATTCAAAAGCTTGGTAAACCTACAGCGACCATCTGTTACAGCGTGCACAAATGCACTTATAAATACTATAAACCACCACCACTTACAGTGGCTTGTGTAGCAGATTTCAATTACTTCCTCTTACATATCCTAAAAATAAAGAACCGATGTTGTATATTATTTACATGGAAACAGGGTGGTTTTGTTCAACAATCATTTACAGTTTAATTGCCACTGCTCTGTGAATTTGTACTATATTGTGGCCACAACAATAATAATAAATGATTAATGTTCCAAGAATTAAATTCCATTTACTGGACAATTATATACAGTGATATTAATGTAGAAGTAGGCATAAAATTACCTTAGACCAGTTCCGAGCATTCTACCGGCTACTCCGAATTAGGTTTTCCTGCAGTTTTCCTAATTCGTAAGGTAAATACCGGAGTAGTATAGACCATCTTAAGACCTTCTGCAGAGTGCAGAGGCACCTCTAAATAGCATTATGCGGGTCACTCTGTAATTGGGCGCATGCCTGTTGAGGGCCCAAAACAAGAGAGGGATAATAAAATAAAATAAATAAAATAGGAATTTCCTGTCTACTTTTACCTGATAAAAAGTCTCCTGAAAGACGCCTAATTTTACGCAACCAAAATAACTTCTTGAAACAAATAAAGATCTGGCTGTCATATTAATTATTAATTGTTGCTTTAGCTTCACAGAAAATAAATCTCTTAAGCTCCTTTAACTGTTATCGGCACTATACCAATTGGAAATATCACCTTTTTCTATAGTTGAATACATCGCACACGAACCGAAATTAGAATAAGGAAGTCGAAGCGATAATATTTAAATTAATTAATATGACAGGCAGATCCTCATTTGTTGTAGGTTAACTTTGGTTGCATAAAATTAGGCGTCTTTCAGGAGACTTTTTATCATGTACAAGTAGACATAGGAAATCCCTATGTCTACTTCTACATGAATATCATTGCATGTTAGCGGCAAAGTGCGAAACCCTGCATTTTGTAAAATCCCTAGGCATTTTGCGAAATGACCGCAGACGAAGTAAGAAAATACAAACTTTGATAATCAGAAAATACAGTATTTAATGACCCTATTTATTTAGTTTCTTACATCAATTGTTGCCGATGTACAAAGTTAGGTCTTGAGCACCATCGGAAGAAATTTCACAATCTTGGTTGTAGCAACAATATTTATATGTATACAAAATTAAAAAAGAGAAACATAATTCATGGCAGTAGTTTGTATTTTCACAGTCGAACTCCCGGCAGTAGACAGCCTTCTCCAGCGGAAGACGAAGTTAAAAACGGACTTCCTCCTTTAGACGGTAACGTTATGGTCATCAAACAGGAGCAACTACCTCCACATTTACAACTCCAACCGCACCTGGCAGCTCCTCACCTCGGAGTCACGTTAGCAGAATCCGTAAATCAACACTTTGAGCATTTCACGGAGCAACCGCCACCGACGCCGTACGATCAGCAACCTCCACAGTATGCACCGCCACCTCCGCAGCCTCATCAGGTGGATAGCGCCGTTCTGCAGCAGCAACAACATAATTTCGATGTACAGGTAGGATTTTTGTTTTCTTTATTCGTATAAGTAATTCCGCCATTAGCCACTAGATGGTATGGTTGTCGTTGTTGTGCAGTAATTCTGTTGAATAGGTACCTATATTCAAAGAGTATAGAGACGAAAATACACATTGGCGGTAGAATGGGCAGATTTCAATTGACATTAGCTTACACATTGCATCAAGTAGGAATACCAACTTACTTATTTATGTATACTGGGTTCTATTCTCGAAGTGGTTAATAAACCATTAACACTTCCTCAGGTAACAGTTTATTTGCCCGCCTTATTCTTTTAAATACATACAATCTTATTATGTTTTTAATTTTGTGTACTGCAATTTTTTTAACTAGAGATACTAGTTTAACGTTAAGTTTAAAAAAACCTTTAGTTTTAATTACAGGATTTTTCTATGAAAATGTCACTTAAGCAAATTACTTGCACCACTAGGTGTAGGAAAAAGGATCGTTACAAAATTAAACTTAATGGCATAGTATCCACCTGTAAATAGGTCTATTATGTTTCGATTTTGAAAAAGAAATTCTCTCCAAAATGTTATGCAATATTCATGAGTACGCGATTTGTAATTCCGCATATTTTCTTCCTTGCATACTAATCAGTTTACGTATAAATTTAGCGATTGTCTATATTTTTTAAACGCGTGCGGCCCGATTTCGTTTGGCCTTTAATCTCGGTGCGTAATTGGATATTGTGCAGGAAAAAACATAATTTATGAAGTTTTTACACCCCGATCGAAGGCACACCTAAATTAGGGTGGAGTCTTGGATTTGAACCCTAGAGAAAATAGATCACGCGAGATTGCATGTTTCCCTCCACGATTCATTATCATAGTGGAGTTAATTAATATATATCTTTCTTCTTTATACTTATCAGCTGGGAGCAGAGCCCCGGTACTCCCTGTTATTGCTTTCTACGAAAAATTTAGAGCCGAATTGCGTGGATGCCGCAATGTCACTAATACATTACGTGATAGTATGGAAATTTAGTTACGAGCGTTTCTAATTAATGAATAACTTTCAATTTCGTCAAATTACTATTCACTCCAGATGAAAACGGCGTAATTTTTGCGATTTATCTTCGATTTGATTTAGTAATTACGTGCGAGCCTGGGAGTGTTGTTTAACATCTGTTCAAAAGTCGCATTTGCATGAGAACCGCGAATTTAATGCCGACGTCCGTTTCCCATTCTCGTTTTGTAAATTCTATTTTCAAGTGAGAGAGGGTGTTCAGATTGGATTAAGCAAAGGGTAGGTCGAATATTAAGCGGCCCTGATTCGAATACAAATTTTTATTGTTATTTCGTGCACCCTCCAAACAAATAAACCGAAACCGCCTAAACGTGCCGTGCCGAGATGCAATTGAAAGAAACACGTCATGAGTGAACTTCTAATTGCGTTGCCCTGCCATTAATTAGCCGCGGCCTCGGAGCGTTTCGCAAACTTCCAAGTCATCATCAGAGCAATAAATGGGCGTACAAATGAAATCGCATTTAAAAATAAATCAGCCTTATCGAGCATACGAACACGCGAAATTTGGGTCGGAAAGGATGACGTCAACTTGGGCAACCGCGAAAGTGGCGGGCATATAAATCAACGTCAACATTTCTTTAAGGGAAAGTAAACGCTCGTGGACCTTCCAAGAAACAAACAAAAAAAAAGGTTTCCACTTACCGCATCGCGCTTTGGCGTATAAAAGAATATATGACAACAGGTGGAAGTGGCGGAATTAGGAGAAACATATAGGCTATATTTTTAACATTAAGGATAAAAGCCATAAAAATCCACCTCGAAAGCTCTTCACATGTACGACGAAATAGCAACTCTTGCACAAGATTGCAAACGAAAATGTGTGATATCTGAGTGGAAAGCTAATATATAGCCCTTCTGTTGTTGAAAATATAAGGTTCAAATTTAGGAGTATGATCCCTATACTATTAAAGGATTTTACGTTCAAAATATCAAAGTCTCTCAGTCGCGAACTTCTTTAGAAATTTAGGGACGTATTATCCGCCCGCTGTTGAAATGAACCCGTGCATTGAGCACCATTTTTATAAATTCAATAGGTATGCGCATATTGAGAGTTGTTTTGCGCCCTTAAAATAAAATTATGTCCCCTTCAGACAAATGCAGCAAAGCAACAATGTTTTTGCTTACAAATGAAATAAATATTTTCATTTATGAGCAGATTTGATCATTTGAATTTTTTCAATCCGACACACGGTTTTCACGTAATCTTCAATAGTTTTGAAAATATCGCAAAAAAACGAAAATTTCTGATTTTATTTTTTAATTTTTTCATGGCAAACTAATCGTACTAGACATTTCTAATTAACACAGTATTCCGACACTTTTTAATGGAGATTTCGAATATGGCATCCCGTTTTTAATTATTTTAACTTTTAAGATGACTGACAAACCGTGGCAACTGTAATATTTCTTATGGGCGCCGTTATGGATTTTGACATTTTGTGATAACGTTTTTTTCTCTTTACAACGATATCACACATGGTGGTTCAGTCATTTTCTGCAAAGAGTGCTTTGCAAAAACAAAACGTTCTTTTGTTGTGAACAAAAGGTCAAGTAGTGGCATTTACGTCGTGCTAGTTTTATTGCGAAAATATTATTTATTCTTATGTATTTTGTTCTAATTTGAATTATAATTTCCTTGCAAAACGAAGATGCAATTCTATTCAGATGAAAATCGAATTTTCTAGTTCTAGTTTCCTGCCAACGCTGCAACCAGACAAATGGATCAAACTTTCAAACTTTTGTTTACAATAAAAGAACGTTTTGTTTTTCCAAAGCACTCTTCCCAAAATACAATAAAAGAACGTTTTGTTTTTCCAAAGCACTCTTCCCAAAAAAATTAATAATTGTATTTTTAGGAAAAAAAATGATACCACCATGTGTGATATATCGTTGTAAAGAGAAGAAAAGACGTAATCTGAAAATATCTAAATTCAAAACGGCGCCCATAAGAAACACTAAAGTTGCCACGTGTTTCTCTGTCATTTTAAAAGTTATTAAGATCGAGATGCCATATGCGAAAAGTGTCTGAATAATGTGATAATTAGAATAGTTTTCAATGGAAAAAATAATTTTCGTTGTTTTGCGATATTTTCAAAACTACTAAAGAAACTTTGAATTTCTTTTCAGAACGTAAATTCGCAACTTTGCCCCCAAAGCGAGATCCCCATAGCACTCGAAAAATGGACACCGTGTATAATCCAACACTATTGCTTTTGATAATTGCAATTTTATGCCTCGGCTCTGTAACCGAATCCGCTTTCCAAATGGAAATTGTGAAAAAAAACATAATTTTTATTTAATAAAGCTTCAAGTACAAATTGTTATTACACAGATGAACATGAGTTCATTGCCAGCACTGATTTAATTATTGATGAGTGTGTGTGTGTAATAAAAGTTGCAATATTGTGCTCATCTTGCGCGCATTGTGCAATAAAGACCACAGTCTGGGTCAACCAGAGGTTGCAGTGTTGAATAAATTCTAGATGTGTCAAACGGATATCAAATAGTTTGCGCTTACATGTTAAAACTACAACAATAAACAAACGCATTTGGTTTACTTTTTTTTTTATTTACGGATACATTTACGATTACATAAAATTTTATACATAATAAAACCAGCCATTAAAATATTATTACGTATCTCAATGGTGATATTAAATTTTGATTTTTTTATGTTTTGAACATATTAGGGGCGCGAGCGATCGATGGAAATTTAGGAAGAGCCGTCATCATCCGGTTACTTATTTGCTAAAAGCTGCTTCCTTTTCGCTGGCAGGCAATTTAATAGAGAAAAAAGCTCCGTTAATATAATCGCACGTTTTGTACTTTTAGGAGCGCTAATGGAGCTCGCGGTAACGGTGGTGACGTGCTCCTTCGGAATAATTTATTTTATATAAAGAATGAGTGTGCCCATACAATAGTGTGCCGATTGATTTTTCACATGCGGAAAAATGTATATTTCTACCCCTGTCGCGTGACAGACTGTTTTAAAACATACACAATTTTTTACCTGCCCGTAGGTAAACCTCTTCCAATTTATTGATATCGAGCAAACTTTTATTGGAAAAGAATTCTAATCAGGCAATTTTCTAAACGCCAATAAGTCACCGCAATTTAGGAATTCTTTTTGCCGATTGTCTGAGACGTACCAATAAATTTTCTGTTTGTGTTCGGAACACATCAATTTTCCGCTATGTTACCGATCACCTGTACACTAAAATATCCGTGTTTGGCAGTTGTCACAAAAAACGTATGGCTTGCCTAACATTGCAAAATTAGCACATGAGACCTGCCAATCTTTCCCTTTTAACTTGCTGCATACTTTTCAAATGTGTTTTTACAAAGTTAAATCGGTTTTTTACATTTTTTACATTTTTTTTACATACAAATACGTGTGTATTTCTTGACCGTTGAGAGAAAACCACAGGCAACTAATACCAAAACAATAAATTATTCAACTAATTAGGAACTTAAACTTTATGATAGTATCCTGAGTAACTGCTCTCAATTCCCCAAAATTCCTATTTGTACCTTGAAAATGACCCAGCAATATTTCTGCACAAAAATCACGAAATTATTATATTGTGGTAATGGTTGGTTAACCACACCACATTAGAATTGTGGCAATAATTAGTGAAATTAACGATTTTTGCTGACTGAAACATGGTCGATATAAATGACATAATTGTCATGTTTTTTTTAACATTTAAAATGCCCTGTGAAATTAGGAGTTAAAATTTCAAAAAAAAATTGTTAAATTTGGAGGTCTTTTTAACTAAACATTCCAAAATTTTCTGTTCTATTCTGCTCTTTAATAACAAGACAAATTGTTTCAATTTCAACAGTGTCTCAGTAATGGTTTTTTAAAAGCATGACATTGTCACGGCTATTGGCACGAACAAGTTGTCGGAAATAGCGGAATTTCTGCCTCGGTACGTCCTCGCATTTCCG